GAGGGTTATTTTATATATATATATATATATGTGTGTGCTGTATATGTGTGGGAGTGTGCTGTGTGTGTCTGGGGGGTGCTGTGTGTGTCTGGGTGCGCTTTGTGTGTCTGGGTGCGCTGTGTGTGTCTGGAGGTGCTGTGTGTCTGGGGGTGCAGTGTGTGTCTGGGTGCGCTGTGTGTGTCTGGGTGAGCAGTGTGTGTCTGGGTGCGCAGTGTGTGTCTGGGTGCAGTGTGTGTCTGTGGGTGCAGTGTGTGTCTGGGTGCAGTGTGTGAGTCTGGGTGCGCTGTGTGTGTCTGGGTGCAGTGTGTGTGTCTGGGTGCTGTGTGTGTCTGGGTGCGCTGTGTGTGTCTGGGTGCGCATGTGTCTGGGTGCTGTCTGTCTGGGGGCGCTGTGTCTGGGTGCTGTGTAGTGTCTGGGGGGCGCTGCGTCTGGGGTGCAGTGTGTCTGGGGGTGCTGTGTCTGGGTGCAGTGTGTGTCTGGGGGGTGCTGTGTCTGTCTGGGGGGTGCTGTGTCTGGGTGCAGTGTGTGTCTTGGGGGTGCTGTGTCTGGGTGCAGTGTGTGTCTGGGGGGTGTTGTGTCTGGGTGCTGTGTGTGTCTGGGGGGTGCTGTGTCTGGGGGCAGCTGTGTATGGGGGTGCTGTGTGTGTGAATGTATTTTTTTATTTAAATTTAAATATTTTTTTTACTAATAAAAAAAAAAAAATTATATCCCCCCCCTCCCTTCTTACCTTTATCCTGGGAGGGGGGGGGGGGAGAAGATCAGTTCTCCCTGGGGGGTTGGGAGCCATGCTGCCTTCCCTGGTGGTCCAGTGGTGAGAGTGAACTTTAACCTGCGGGTTAGAGTTCACTCTCGCGAGATCTGAGCGTTGCCGCGGCAACGCTCAGAATCCCGCGAGAGGACCGGCGGAGCTGCTTGTTGGAGCTCCGCCGGGTCCTCCCTCCCTCCCTCACCATCCGGCGCGGCCGCATCTCACTGTCTGTGGGCCGGTGAGGGAGATCTTTGATCTCCCACGGCCATCGCGGCCCACCGGGCATTTGCCCGGTATGCCCGATGGCCAGTCCGGGCCTGCCTTCTACCATCCTTAATGTGTAATGTTTGAAATGTGAATGTCATCCTATTGCATTTACTTGTTCAAAAAAAGTAGCTTTTATTTTTTTAACATGGTTCATAATTTGTTTTCAAATGTTTGTTCTTCAGAACAGCCTTATGGAAAAGCCTAGAATTTCTGAATTGTTTTAATCTGCTAGCATTTACTACTTTTACAGGAATACTATTAGAAATAGCTACAAAACCTTTCTGCAATGTATTATTTTCTCATTTTACCTCTCAGAAAATTGTTACATTGTTGAGAAAGATAACCATAAAAATATATATTTTTCCCCAAGGTGCGTGAAAGAGATGACACAGCGATTCACTCATAACAATAAAAAGCAGATTCGGCCCTGAAAAGTGCATTGAGTGGATAATATTTTATGAACGTTTGTAGAAATCTTTGCGTCTCACCTTTTACCTTTTATCTGTGCTGTGTACATTACCTTATCCAGACAGCCAGCTATCATAAGGCTGTGCACTTGGGACAAATATTACTAGTGATAAACGATATACAATAAGCATTTTGTGTACTAGTGTGAAAATAGTATTTTTTGGGTTAATGTACAAACTGCGGCGGAGCTTGAACACTGAAGCAAACGGACGCCAGCTAAAGGAGCTCTGAGCCTTAAACAGAGAAAAACACAAGAAATACCCCCCCATTACCATCCCAATCGACAGGCAAATACCCCAAGACTTAATGGGGAGAAAGGGAAAGAAAACGATACCACACAAACCCACCTCGGGACTTACTATAGGGGAGTTGTGGAGGCAAGCACGTGGAGCCGCCGAAACAAACATGGCGGCTCAGCACGGTGGGTGCTCGGATTTCTCCGAGGACATATCCGATGAGGAAGATGGGGGAATCTCACAGCCTCCTCACCCACCACAAAAGGCACAACAAGGCGGCAAAAGGTCCGACACAGAGCCGATCACCATATCGGTTCTGAAGGCATTACTGGCGGACCTGAAACGCAGCTTCCACGAGGATGTCACAGCGCTCCGCGCAGACTTGAAAGGCCTGACAGGCCGAATCTCCAAACTGGAGGACTCCTCACAATCCCAGGCCCAGGAGGTCGCTGCACTGCAACACTCCGTACAAGCCCTGGAACAGCAGACCCAGCAATATGAACATCGCCTCGCGGCGCTGGAGGACGCCAGACGGGCTTCCAACATTAAAATCAGGGGAGTCCGAGAGGACATTACAGAGGCCGAACTGCCTAAACTAATGGAGCGGATGTTACTAGAAATACTGCCACGAAGACAGAAATCAACTATCACCCCAGTAAGGGTCTTCAGAGTCCCTAAACCAACTAACGCACCAACCATGGCCACGAGAGATGTCATTCTGACCCTCCGCAATAGCGAACATAAGGTGGCGATCCTGTCTGCCCTCCGAGGCAGGACCCCCTTCCACTTTGAAAACATGGACCTCTCACTCTACACAGACCTGTCCAGTGGCACCCTGGCCTGGCGCCGGTCGCTACGACCACTCACCTTAATTCTTCGTGCCCGCAAGATTGAATACCGCTGGCGGTCCCCCAGAGCATTGACGGTCCAGCGAGGATCAAACTTGCATAACATTCAGGACATCCGGGACGCCCCGGCCTTCCTCCGGCTCCTGGACCTACCTCAAGAACTGCTGTCCCCGGCAAGACTGGCCAACAAGGATAACAACAGCCCCCCTAATCGCACCCATACTTGGGACCCAGACCGGATCGCCCCATTCATGCCCCAAAGCTCTACACCGGACACATATTCAGCAATCACGACATAGAGGCACAGAGACACTCACCAGTCAGAGTCTCGGGTCCGCCGCTTGGCGTAGGTAAGGACATGGTACACAACCTGCGACCCACTGATACCCTGACAGCTGCCGAGCTACCTCGAATCAGGACTGGCACAGCCGGACAGGACACCAGAGACCTGATAACGCAGACCTAAGCCCCCCAACACTAACGAAGACCTCCCCGCTCCCGGGCAACTCTGTGTCCCTGCCCCAACCGTGCTAAGTGGACAGACTCAGGCTGGAAAAACGGAGACTATTTCTATTTTTCCTTCTACAATTACTTAGAAAAGGGGATAGGAGGACGCGGAGAGGGGGAGAAGAGGGACAATTTTTATATATATTTTTTTTTTTTTTTTTTTTGCTTTTAATCCCGAGACCCATCAGACATGCCCAACTTGCTCATATGTTCAGATCGCTTTTAAGGGCAACAAACACTAGACCTCACATAAATATATAGCCTGAACATGTCTAAACATATATGTACCAATGTGTGTTTGTTTGGCCAGCCTGCCTCCGGTCGCCCTCTCCTGTACCCATTGAGGCTTTTAAGACCAGAATACTCAAACATGTGTATTTTAGCACCCAAACCAGCAATTTACATGTAGTAATTATATAGCCTGTAAGCCTGCTTCAATACTCTACCGATAGCCACATATGGCACACAACGTGGGTGGCCTTAGGCAGTAGGTTTGTGGGGTGTTTCCCCCCCCCCCCTTTTTTTTTTTTTTCCTCCTTCTTCTTCTCCCTCTCTCTTCGGTTGGTACCTGCCAGACATGTCACGACAATGTATGTATAAGCAGTTATAACTATGGCATAGGTACAACAGATTGACCCTCTCAGAAACGCAATGCCTTGTATTTGACATAACCCTCAACACATTTGAAGTAATCATAAGCCTGTTCTGTTTAGCAAGCTACAATAATCTATTGTTGTTATTAAGTCAGATATTTTAATGTTCTCACAACAAAAATGTCCGGTTTAACCTGCCTCACTTTAAAGTGTTTAAAATATTCTCAACTATAACAAGAATTAACACAGTTAGAACTCTGGCATAAGTATACATGTTAGACCCTCTCAGAAATGCAATGCCATGTATTTAACAATTTTAAACGTAACAAAACTAACCACAAGTCTGCCTAGCTTAGCAAACTTAAAACATAAAACAATCTGCTGATGTTTCACAACCGGATACTTCCATGTTTCTTTGTTTGGGTGTTTTGTTTTTCCCTTCAAAAACATGCTGTTTAACCTACCTTACGCTAATGTTACCTGACTTTAACCTTAAAAAATGTGCACAGTATCTCATGCCATGCAACTGTAATATTACGTGTCTGAAAACAATTAGTAATCGCTGTTGTGGCATTACTAGACTAAATGTTATCTATATCTATGCACGAAAAATAAAGAATTATAAAAAATTTACAAACTGCATATACTTTCTAGACTCCTAGCCTGATTAGTAGCGTGGTTTATACTTTTTATAATTCTTTATTTTTGTTCTGCTTGGTGGTAACAAAGGTAAGATATTATACATGACAAAAGTTGTGATGTATTAGACATATCAGAGCAGAGAGGGTGTATACAGTTTTCATCACATTTTTGTTTTCTTTAAGCATATCACGATATTATGGTCACAGCACAGGTTGAGGATAACGGTATGGCATTGAGTAAACATGCTGTGTGCATAAGGTGATGAAATGAAGTACATGTTTAGTAAACCAGCTGGGTAACTAGATTAAATTGATTACTGTTAAGTGTTAAAGAGAAGACAAACAGGATAAGCATTAATAATAAGCATATCATTATCACCTGGGCAGGAGAAACATATGAGCTCAGGTATAGGCTGCAGATTTTAGGCTAGGTCATAGTTGCTGGGCAGGTACCTGTCTATTAGACTGTAAGATATGATGGTTGATGATGAGGGAAGTAATGAAAAAAAAACAAAAAACAATATTTTAACATGCTAAAACACAATAATGGTAAAACAGAAAACTGCTTCGAGCCTTGATCTTGCATATAGACAATTTTGGCAAAGGACTACTGTACATAATAATAGCATAATAGTAGCTCCTCTTGAGAATCACTCATCCCATTCTAAACTCCGGTAACTCTGGTAGGTAAATTAAGGGTAGTCCCAGCACAGCAACAGGTCCAGCTCAGACCACTCCACCATCCCAAGAGCTCTGCTCGAGTCATCATCTGATGCCCTCGGATCCGGTCCTTCGATGAGCCATGATTGGTAATCCTGGAGAGGTGCACCCCATGCCGGCGAGTCACTCTCCTGGGTGCAGGACTGCGATGGGGAGTTCCACTCCACAAGTCCAGGTAAGTGGATGCAGGAGCTAGGCATAAGTGCCATCCGATGAGACAAGTTCATGCCAAGGTAGGAGAGTGGAGTGCAGGAGTCAATGTCAGTCCTATCTTTGAAGCCCTTTCTTAGGCTAAGTGACATAGCCGTTTCAGTATGAGCCGTTGCGGCGGCCATCTTAGATTTTAAACTTCGGTGAGTTCCCAACAGGACCTTTTGATGAACGATTCGGAAAACGTCCAGGGCGGTCTGGGTTAACTCCAACTGGTCCATGGGACATCAGTAGCCCCAATAGTTGCTTGTGTTGCCCTCCATTCATTTTCCAGGTCTGGGTGAGTGTGTACAGAAATTATTGTTGAATAAGCTTCACAGCTTGCAGGAGCTGTGCTGACATGTGGCCAGCTTGCATGATGGTCCGGCTCCGCCATCCGTGTTGTTTATACTTTTAAGAGAAAAAGGTCCCGACTGGTCATTTAAAGTATGTATGATTGTCCAGTGGCACCGTTACTGTGCCAGCACTGTGGAGAACAGTCACATGACATTGTGTCACATGACATAAGAAATACAAAGCATCAAGCAAACATGAGAAGCTGGTACAATGTGGTTTCATTGAGAGGCAGCAAATCTCACTTGGTCAAAATATTGTATGTTTGCTGCTGCTCCATAAACTCCTTACTTGTCATTGTACCAGCTTACGTTGCCCACCTGCTGCTTTGTTTGTGGTCCCCTACTTGTGTAGAAAACTGGTGACACTAAAGCGGTCTATCAACTTCCCCAAGTGCAACATGGGTTTCACTGTGACGTTATAGTTAATGGGTAGAAGTGGTTGTTCCTAGTTTGGTGCATGAACGGATCCAAGCAATGGTAATTACAATAATAATAACGCAGGGCTTAGATTTGAATTATTTTGACAGAGCCGCTAATGCTCGTGAAATAGTCAACTGTACAGAAGAGGATTTACTCAGCACAAACATTAAAACCCATTCAAACTTTCTCTCTTTTTCTTTCTCTCCTTTCCGTCCTTCCTCTCTCCTTCCTTCCTTTCTCTCTTTTATCCTCTTTCTTTCTTTCGTCTCTACAAAAATGAAGCTTTCATTTTAACCTGTCATATACAGAACTTTCACTTCATCTGACCAACTGCTGACGCTGAAGCAAGTGAAATGTCAGGACACTGCGCTGCAAGAGATTGTTGGCCCCTGTCCAAGCGACAAGGCTAAATGCATTAGTTATCTGTCGCCTAATGAGCTGCATTGACATAGACACTTTCCACTGCAGGAGCACATGACTGTGAAGGACACACTCCTGTAAAGAAAGAATCCTTCTGGCTCTAATTAGCTGTTACTATGTTCAGTGGATGCACTTGGTTTCCCCTTCACTACTATCACCCTTCTATATTTTTTTCCCCTTAATGACAATTGTATTTTAACATGTCTGTTGCGTTTCAGCTGTCTGTGTCTCAGCTGACTGAAAATACGATCTCTATGCTACTTCAGCCTTGAGTACGCTCTTATTTATCTGTTTCTGAGTCAGGGACCCATTAACGTGAATCTGTGCAAAGAACAAACTTCAATTATAAAGAGCAAGATCGCACAGGTCCAGCACTTTACAGTCTGCAGTTATTAAACCTATCTGACGACTAATAAATACAATTGAATTAAACGAACTAGGAGGTTACTCTGAATCCTCTCTTGCAGACATGATTAATTCATTTTGAAGGAAATGCGGTGGTTTAGAAGTCACTATAGTTAGTTACAAAAATAAATAAATTGAATTAACTGGAAAGGGAATTGAGCAATGTCATTGACTAGAAGATAGCAAACATTTTTTAATGGCTTCTCCATTCACGACACAGACAATACATTATATTAGTCATCACCATAGATTAAATTTTTGGCACAGACAATCATTCTATACAAATGGGTTTTAAAAATCTGCTATTGAGGTTCTTTTTTCCACCTTAATGGATGTCTCTCTGAGGCTCGGGTTAACATTCCATGTTAAAGTATGTATCCAGGTACTATTAGTTTATTATTATTCTTATATTTTATTATTATTTTTAGTCAACATTTAGTGCCTGTTCCCTAATCATCAATCATCATTTTTACCATCAATCCTTTCTTTTTAGGGGCCATGGATGAAATTCAGAATCACAAACTGAAACAGACATACTCAGCTATTGTACGTTTCGCTTGGTTCATGATTCTAGTGTATTTCAGCTCAGAGGTCAGAAATTCGACCTCTGCCCCAATTTGGATGAAGTGCAGTCCAAAACAAAACTGTAAGTCTTCACAGGAAGAATTTATAAGGTGCCAACATATCATTTATAGTGGCAAAAGACATTATGGGGGAGACAGATGGACATATTTGTAGCCAAGGCATTGAGGACTTCATTCATGAACCCATCATATAGTACAGCAGCATATACAGTGAGGGAAAAAAGTATTTGATCCCCTGCTGATTTTGAACATTTGACCACTGACAAAGAGATGATCAGTCTATAATTTTAATGGTAGCTATATTTTAACAACGAGAGACAGAATAAAAATAAAAGAAATCCAGAAAAATGCATGTCAAAAAAGTTATATATAGCTTAGTATTTGGTGGGAAAACCCTTGTTGGTAATCATAGAGGTCATGCTGGAATACCCATCCACAACCCATTTTCAATGACCTGGCTGAGGGAAGAAGGTTTTCACCCAAAATGTGACGGTACATGGTCCCGTCCATTGTCCCTTTGATGCGGTGCAGTTGTCCTGTCCTCTTAGCAGAAAAACACCCCCAAAGCATAATGTTTCCACCTCCATGACTGATGGTGGGGATGGTGTTATTGGAGTCATAGGCAGCATTCCTCCTCCTCCAAACACGGCGAGGTGAGTTGATGCCAAAGAGCTCGATTTTGATCTCATCTGACCACAACACTTTCATACAGTTCTCATCTGAATCATTCAGATGTTCATTGGTAAACTTCAGACGGGCCTATACATGTGCTTTCTTGAGCTGGGGGACCTTGCGGGAGCTGCAGGATTTCAATCCTTCATGGAGTGGTGTGTTACCAATTGTTTTCTTGGTGACTATGGTCCCAGCTGCCTTGAGATCATTAACAAGATCCTCCCATGCAGTTCTGGGATGATTCCTCACCATTCTCATGATCAAGGTGAGATCTTACATGGAGCACCAGACCGAGGGAGACTGACAGTTATTTTGTGTTTCTTCTATTTGCAAATAATCGTACCAACTGTTGTCACCTTCTCACCAAGCTGCTTGGCGATGGTCTTGTAGCCCATTCCAGCCTTATGTAGGTCTACAATCTTGTCCCTGACATCCTTGGACAGCTCTTTGGTCTTGGCCATGGTGGAAAGTTTGGAATCTGATCAATTGATTTCTTCTGTGGATAGTTGTTTTTTATACAGGTAACGAGCTGCGATTAGGAGCACTCCCTTTAAGAGATTGCTCTTAATCTCAGCTCGTTACCTGTACAGGTAGTGCAGAATTATTAGGCAAGTTGTATTTTTGAGGATTAATTTTATTATTGAACAACAACCATGTTCTCAATGAACCCAAAAAACTCATTAATATCAAAGCTGAATATTTTTGGAAGTAGTTTTTAGTTTGTTTTAGTTATAGCTATGTTAGGGGGATATCTGTGTGTGCAGGTGACTATTACTGTGCATAATTATTAGGCAACTTAACAAAAAACAAATATATACCCATTTCAATTATTCATTATTACCAGTGAAACCAATGTAACATCTCAACATTCACAAATATACATTTCTGACATTCAAAAACAAAACAAAAACAAATCAGTGACCAATATAGCCACCTTTCTTTGCAAGGACACTCAAAAGCCTGCCATCCATGGATTCTGTCAGTGTTTTGATCTGTTCACCATCAACATTGCGTGCAGCAGCAACCACAGCCTCCCAGACACTGTTCAGAGAGGTGTACTGTTTTCCCTCCTTGTAAATCTCACATTTGATGATGGACCACAGGTTCTCAATGGGGTTCAGATCAGGTGAACAAGGAGGCCATGTCATTAGATTTTCTTCTTTTATACCCTTTCTTGCCAGCCACGCTGTGGAGTACTTGGACGCGTGTGATGGAGCATTGTCCTGCATGAAAATCATGTTTTTCTTGAAGGATGCAGACTTCTTCCTGTACCACTGCTTGAAGAAGGTGTCTTCCAGGAACTGGCAGTAGGACTGGGAGTTGAGCTTGACTCCATCCTCAACCCGAAAAGGCCCCACAAGCTCATCTTTGATGATACCAGCCCAAACCTGTACTCCACCTCCACCTTGCTGGCGTCTGAGTCGGACTGGAGCTCTCTGCCCTTTACCAATCCAGCCACGGGCCCATCCATCTGGCCCATCAAGACTCACTCTCATTTCATCAGTCCATAAAACCTTAGAAAAATCAGTCTTGAGATATTTCTTGGCCCAGTCTTGACGTTTCAGCTTGTGTGTCTTGTTCAGTGGTGGTCGTATTTTTGCTTGGTTTTCCACGCTTCTTGCCCCGACCCTGTTGACTATTTTGAATGAAACGCTTGATTGTTCGATGATCACGCTTCAGAAGCTTTGCAATTTTAAGAGTGCTGCATCCCTCTGCAAGATATCTCACTATTTTTGACTTTTCTGAGCCTGTCAAGTCCTTCTTTTGACCCATTTTGCCAAAGGAAAGGAAGTTGCCTAATAATTATGCACACCTGATATAGGGTGTTGATGTCATTAGACCACACCCCTTCTCATTACAGAGATGCACATCACCTAATATGCTTAATTGGTAGTAGGCTTTCGAGCCTATACAGCTTGGAGTAAGACAACATGCATAAAGAGGATGATGTGGTCAAAATACTCATTTGCCTAATAATTCTGCACTCCCTGTATAAAAGACATCTTGGAGCCAGAAATATTGCTGATTGACAGGAGATCAAATACTTATTTCACTCAGTGGACAAATGTTCAAAATTATACGTGAAGAGTGTGTAAAGGCACTTCTAATGGATAAAATATTTATAATAGAAGTGAAGTCCCCAAAACCTGATTATGTAACTGATATACAAAGTGCTTCCTCAAACAAACGTGATATCAGTGTACATAGAGTACCCGTATTAAAGTGTATGGTATAAAAACATAGAAAATACAACCATATCACTAGAATCCACTGGGATATCACAGAATACCTAAAACAAAATTAAAACAACATAGTGTGTACTGTATAAAAATATAAAACGTGGGGAATAAAAGCAGGACTATCACTCACATGGCCCAGAGCCGT